GCTAACGAGATGGTCTCGAACACCACGAGACCTGGCCTTCTGGATGATGGGTTTTTAGGATTTTGAGTTAAGGGTGTAGGGTATAGGGCTGAGAGTAGAGGATTTAGGTTTGGGATTTAGGGTTTGGGGTTTAGGGCTTAGGGTTTAGGGTCTAGGGCACAGGGCTGTAGAGGATTTACGTTTGGGAGTTAGGGTTTAGGGCTCAGGGTATAGAATTTAAGATTTCGGGTTTTGGGTTTTACCATCTTGAAGTACTAGGGGTATGGAGAGATCTGGATTGTACTTCCATCATGGATCGGGTTACAGGGGCTCTTTCTGGAGGACGTGAAGCCATCATGTCGATGCATATTCACATCAGTAAGATGCATGTAAGTACAATGCCATTTTAGAGAGCATGATCGTTCCTGCTTTAGATGATGACTTCTTCGCAGCCTGTAATGTAGGGGCCTAATTGTCAATATTACGGTCCCACATTCCGTGTAGAATTCTAATATTCGATACCTCAACTAGACACCTCAAATAGATCTCAACATCATACGGGTAGTCATTCAGGATAACTCCTATCAATAACTGCTACGCAAACCATGATTCCAAGTCATTTTCCTTTCTTCCATCTCGTCTTCCGTTCTTGATACTTTTTCGAGGCCTTATAGTATGTGCTCCTACTGGTTGTCAGAGGGGAGAACGGATCACTGTGATAGCCCCTGGGAGCCCCTATTAATGCAGCAGTTTCCATGCTCTATTCCTATAAATCTATATATGTATATATGTATATACATATACATACATGCCCCTGTATCATCCCAACATCACATAGCCCTTGTTCCCATGAACTTTCAATTTTCTTGTCCATTTGATTCTTCCTTATAGTAGTTTCCGTATTGTTTTTCATTCTTCATTCCTAAACCCTAAACCCTGAAGCCTGAACCCTAAACCGTTGCCCGCGCAACAAATTGGAATCCCCCCCCCCCCATTATGCACGCTCAGGATCTTAATGGAGCAGCCTGGCTGAATTTTTAGCTTGTGAGTGGGCTTAGGGGTTAGGGTTTAGGGCTCTATGACATGTTAAACCTGTGACATTCTGACAAAGGGTTGACTTGTAGACCAGTATCTGAAGATTTTCAGGGTCTAGGCTTTAGTCCCATACCTGCACAATGCTGCGAGGTTGCATGTGTTTGCTTCTCTTGGGCAAGTCGCCGCGCCAACCATGGGGACATTGCACATTGGTCTTGCTTAGGTAATCATTTTCCTAGACGCTATGGTCGTGTAGGTTGAGTGAGAAGCTGGCGCCAATCTTCGCCACAGTTGTGGCATTTGCATTTGTTTGGTTCTTTTTCCCGCGAAGGGGCACTCCCGCAACCATGTTTAGGGCCTTTGATTCTTGCCATGTCGACCCCTGAAAAATGAGTATCCGAAAGCAACAGAACCTCCCACCGAAAGTGCGCTCCCCGCACCTCAGGCAAGCTTGATTAGGGCTTTTTGGATCCATGCATCCTTGGAACGCTTGCCCTAAACTGAAAACCTAAGCCATTTACACAACTTCATCCAAACATGCCCCCAGTGCCAACAGCGTCAGGGTCCGGCGAGACAACTTCGCTTGAGCGGCAGTAGAGGTACAGCTGAGGTGACTGCCAGCCAGGGCAAAATAGCTGCAGTGGATGGTCAAGCTCTATAGTGGAGTGTGGCCACTAAACACAAGGTTCCTGAAGGTCCTGCTAGAAACTAAATGTTCACCGTCATCCTATCAACATGGAGGGGCGTCAAGCTAGAATCTACAAGATGCAGTAGGCAGCTATCTATTTGCAGAGTTGCGGGTACGTGACTTGGTGGCACGGGGTGCATACTCGACGAGTGTAGCCTGCATGCATTTGAATGCAGTGAACAGTGAACATGCTTCTTCCTTTTGCGACTGTCAGCTCAACAGGGAGCAAAGGGGCATAGTTTGCGTTATCTTCGCGCCCGCCACTGCCAGGACACCAGAAAGCTCAAAGTGTCAACAGCTCCTGCACACCTGTGGTGCGCTTGCCTAGCCTTTTCTGCAGGAGACATGTCCAAGTCAGGCGTTGTGAAGAACTGGAATGACGACAAGGGCTTTGGCTTCATAGGCGCGGCCGCGGTTGTGCCATGTCTGGGACTCGTGCTGAACTCTTGCTTTGTTCACTTTGCTCTGCATGTTTGGTGCAGGCCCGGATGATGGAAGCGAAGATTTGTTCTGCCACACGTCCTCCTTGCAAGGGTGCAAGGGCCTCGGCAAGGGAGACAACGTGCGCTTCGATGCAGAGTACGACGATCGCAAGGGCAAGATGCGGGCCGTGAATGTCTCCCTGGAGGGTGGTGGCGGCGGGGGCGGTGGCGGACGTGGCTACGACCGCGATGATCGTCGTGGAGGCTACGATCGCCGTGACGATCGCCGAGACGATCGCAGGGACTACGACCGCCGCGATGATCGCCGTGATCGCGACTATGACCGCCGAGATGACCGCCGGGATGACCGCCGAGATGACCGTGGCGGCGGCGGTAAGGGCAAGGGCGGCAAAGGTGATCGCTTCGGAGGGGACACACGAGGTGATGACATTAGCAATGGTGGCAATCGCCACCTGACGGCTCGTGAGCTGTTTATGCGGCCGCTTGGCTGACAAGCATGTTGCGAACGGCCACCTGTCAGCTTTAGAATTGTGAGCACCTTTGATGTCAAGGCATGAGCGCGAGAACCCCCGCAAGCGACGCCACAGCTCCTCGGACTCCAGATCCCGCAGCCCGGCGCCGAGGCGCTTTACCCCTGAGCCCAGCATAGCCCAGCTTTGTTGATGCTTTAGTCAAGGGAAATGAGGACCCGATTCCAGTGTAAATCGCTCTGTGTGAGAAACACATCTAAGTTGCAATGCTTGATTTTCGTAGGCCAGGTGTACTACAAAGCAGGAAAAGTAGCGATTACCGGCTGCGTAGGTGATGAACATCAGCACCACCCTGGCAGGAGCCGCCGCGAAAACTTCAACTAAGCTTGGAGATCAACATGACAACGGTGCGGTATCCAGGTGGGACAGGATGGTTTTAAGACATCTTGGCGCTGTGAAATGGAGAGCTTGGAAATTGTAGGATCCACCAGGTCTCTAACCGCTGGAAGAACTCATTCGTGTAGGTCACGTCGCACTGAGGGGTTCATGGATGCGGTCTTGCGAAATGCAGAAGCAGCCCTTGGACTCATTCAAGCCTATTCCATCAATTATATCAATCTACAAGGGCACATATTTTTGGAACCTGTGCAAACTGACAGTGATTGACAGGCAAGAGGGTCTTAGACCTCAACACCCCGAACAACCAGCTGCTCTTCCATGGTGCTATGGTTTGTCATTCTTAGTAATCCCCCCTAACCTTGAACTCCCCCCCTAACATTAGATATTCCCAACGGATTAATTTGATATTCGGGGGGATTCCCTAAACCTTAAATCCTAAACCCTAAACCCACCCCAGTATTAGGGGGTGGGGGGTAAGGGGTTTCATATTACGGGGAGGGGATTCACTGGTCAACGCTAGTCCTGATGGCGCCCGGCGGGCGTGCTTCCCTATTGAGTTTACGGCCTTTGGTTCAGGGTTTATGGTTTAGGATTGAGCTACACAAGAGGTCCGAGGGCAACAGGGGTTGAGGGAAACTTCTCACCCTGCCCTGCAACAGCAATGACGAACACTTGCCCGACAAATTGCCGAACTCTACACCTAACATCTGACAGCCAAACACCTAAGCACCCTAAGCCCTAAATAGTAGTTTCCATCCCAATATATCCCCAATATATCCCCTACGAAGCCAGGAACTTGAAAGCAGAAAGTGAGCGGCAGACCTTCCGGCCTCCCCCCGGCCCAGGGTAGGGTTTAGGGGTTTAGGGGTTTAGAGTTTTAGGGTTTTAGGGTTCAGAGTTTAGGGTTCAGAGTGTAGGGGTTTAGGGTTTAGGGTTTAGAGTTTAGGGGTGCAGCATAAGCATAAGCTTTTCGATGGATACTGTTGCTAGAGGAAGCCGTCACCACCCGAGATATCCTATACCCCTACCCTTAAGTAGATAGAATATGGGGTATATGGGGATCTTATCATAATATACCCAATGCCATATTCTATCTACTTAAGGGGGACTATAAACCCTAAACTCACCCCCGATAATTTCAAGTTCTGGGATTCCAAGTGGCGAAAGATTTCCTCCATCGACCGTATCCCTACCTTCTGGGGTCAGTTATAAAGGGATCTTAAATGGGATATTCCTATCTATCTATTTGCTTCTGTTTTTTGGCCCCTACAGGCAGTAGGTACCTGTCAGGGGCCTAGAGTCCGACGCTAGATGCTAAGAATAGATGCTAAGAATCATGCATGACCCCGTAGTACCTTATATTTTGGGAGTTATGGTGTTATAGTATACTGAGATCATGCAGGAGTTCTAGTATCAGCAGTAGGGCTACTTTAGGTATATGATTGTTACACAGGCGTAATGTTGGACATTTTCCAGGCTTCTACAGTAGTTACATGGGGGCTCCTAAAGACCCTCGAACCCTAAACCCTATATACACCATTATGAACCATGTTCTTTTCCATTATCTCCCATATAACCCAAATTTAGCCCTAATATTATCCAATGAGATGGATGTGTTATATGTATGTGCGGCTGAACCATGAGAAAGTATCAGTGCGGATGCGGGGTCCTTTAGAGTCAGATCTGGCTTCTGAACCAAAAGGTACTGCTTAGATAAGATCCGACTACACAGCGGCTCTATACATGCATCTAGCTATGTGTACATAAAGTACACCTACATACATAAATTTTCACGTATCTGTGTATATGGGGATATACGGTGTATAGTGTTTAGAATATATACTCCTCGAGTATATTCGTTCCTGGCAAGCCTGGATGCTGGCGCGAGAAAGCATCTTTGGAGTATTTCTCGAGTTAGAGGATTCCCCTAGATCCTTATCATGCAGGCCCCAGCCCTCAACCCTAAACTGTGTTTACAATTTTGATAACCCTCCACGTGACTGCCCGAGGGCAGGGGCTGCCGCGCGAGTTTTGAATTCAGGCGAAAGAGCAGGGCACCGCCGTTGTTTCTACGAAACACCTTTGAGCTTTCCGAGTTCCATTGAGGGTCTATGGCAGAGTCTATGGGTTTGGGTACTTTGCGGCGGTGCCGTTGCTGGTGGTACCCTAGAAGCCCAGGTACACATATAGTAGGTTCCTGGGTTATAGATAGTATAAGTTTATATAGGGAACCAATGACAGGACCCCAATATGTAGGTAACTGGGCTTCTAGGGGTAGTTCAGGTTCCTTGCACAGCATATGAAAACCCCAGTTTGCAAAGAGGCCGCCTTGAGGAGCCACTGGGCTCCCGTGGGTGGCTGGCGCACAAGTACATTACTGGGTGCAAATGAAGTTACCATAGCTGGTATATATATATAGAAATATAGTAAGTTACCAGAACTGGTATATATAGCAATTCATATGGTCTCCCCAATATAGTAACTGAATCTAAGTTCCTTAACGGCGAACTCGATTCAGATGGAAACATGTCAGATGTTCTTTGGTAGAGCCAACCTTGAATTCTACACCCAAACCCTGCACCGGTAACCTACGTGCTAGCTTTTGCTGTGGCTTGATTTCGTCTTTGTAGAAGCCTGAACAACTACCAATGTTGTTCCGTTATAGCCTTGAATTATTAACTATGCATATTAGCCCCCCTAAACCCAAAACCCTGAACCTTAAACCCTTATCCCTAAACCCTGAACCCTAAACCTTTAACCCTAAACCCTGAACCCTAAACCCTAAACCAAGCCCCTAGGTTAGCTGCGTTTCTGGCAGCTACTCACCGCAGAAGGGCCTCGCAAGCAGCTGGATCTCCGGCGTGCTTCTGTCCCTGAGGGTTTAGGGTTAAGGGTTTAGGGTTAAGGGTTTAGGGTTTAGGGTTTAGGGCTTAGGGTTTAGGGTTTAGGGTTTAGGGCTTAGGGTATTCTTTTGGAGGACCCCCCACCCTGTAATTGTGGTATAATGGGAATATAAGAGGACCCTAATGTGATCCTTATTGTCCCTTATGGTCACTATTACTGGGTGGGGGTCCACCTAACGTATTCTGAAAGCACAAATGGTAGTTTCTCTGAATAGGGGGACCCCAATATATGCCCCAATATTCTATAATCCTTATTAAGGGGACCCCCGCCCAAAAAAGTACCCCTAAACCCTAAACCTAAACCCTAAACCCTAAACCCTAAACCCTCAAGCCCTAAACCAGGAGCTATGGGATCCCTGTCAGTGGATATGCGGCCATGATAGACATTCATCCCTGCCAAACAGTCCGGACATCTAGGGTTTAGGGTTTAGGGTTTAGTTCCTGATTCATTTCTGCATTCCCTACCTTGCACCGGAAAGCTTAGCATTCTGACAGTGACCCTCCGCTTGAAGCATGCAAACAAAGTCTGGCCTGGGACGGAAGGAATGTTACACTTACTCTGTAGTATTATCAGTTGGGAGTTTCCAAAAATCGGAAATCTTGTCATGATCGTGATTATCACAGCCACCTTGTTTTAGGTTGCTGTTGCCCGACATAATAAGTAATTCCAGCTTCCATTTCATGTTAAATGTTTTCTCAGTTGACTCTCAAGGGAAATATAGCTGAACCCTGAACCCTGCATAATCTTCAGATGATCCCTGCATAGTCCATATAGTAATCCCCATAATGTTCCGCGGTAACATGGAGGAAGGGGCTTCCACTCGCAGGAGACTAAACCCTAAACCCTAAACTTCTGATTCTTGGAAATTCCCAAATGTGCACTGCAGGTCAGCTGTGGCCCTGCAGGAATACTGCGGCTAAAGCCTAGTCCACTGGTCCTCAAGGGGGGTGAAGATAGAAAGAGTTACCTAGACCCTAAAAGTAGGTAAAATAATGGCCCTTAAAGGCCATTATTATGGGTTTAGGGCCATTATTCTACATACTTGTGGGGTTTAGGTAGGCATTTTGCAGAAGTTTCGCGCAAATCGTAGCTGCACCTCGGAGGACTAGTAGGTAGTGAATATTCTACTGCGGCTTCGTTCCTAGATTGCCGTTGCACACGCCGAGGCAAGCTGCCCTGCAAGCAGTACCAGCCAAAAGAGGGCCGACAGGATCTAGAGGGATAATGGAAAAGAAAATGGAAACTATGGTATTTTAATGGGTTATATAGGGGTTATATAGGGATAATGGAAAAGAAAATGGACACTACTATTTAGGGTTTAGGCCCTAGTTTAGGCAAAAGAGTGCCAGACAGGATTTCAGTTACACTCTGCAGGACTACCACTTCACTACCTAAACCCTGAACCCTCAGCCTTAAAGCCTAAACCCTAAAGCATATAGGGAGCTTGAACCATGGCCTCTAAAGCCCAGGATCGGAATCTGGATGCCTTGTCTAGATTTGGGGGTTTCGCAGAATTCCCATACTCCTCCCATAATCCTCACCTACCCTTATGGGGCCCCTGCGGGTACTGTACCCTACTTCGAGAAATCCCTACCCTAAGCGTCCAAATACCTAAATAAGATGTAATCAGGGCTCATAGTACCTACACGAGCCATAGTCTAAACTCCTTCCAGGGGGATTTTATCGGGGATTCTACAAGGGACTA